AGGTGTAGAGGTTAATAACTGATGGTTGGGGTTGGTGTAGACGTTAATAACTGTGATGGTTGGGGTTGGTGTAGATGTTAATAACTGTGATGGTTGGGGTAGGTGTAGACGTTAATAACTGTGATGGTTGGGGTTGGTGTAGATGTTAATAACTGTGATGGTTGGGGTAGGTGTAGACGTTAATAACTGTGATGGTTGGGGTAGGTGTAGACGTTAATAACTGTGATGGTTGGGGTAGACGCAGACGTTATAACTGTGATGGTTGGGGTAGATGCAGATGTTAATAACTGTGATGGTTGGGGTTGGTGTAGATGTTAATAACTGTGATGGTTGGGGTAGGTGTAGAGGTTAATAACTGTGATGGTTGGGGTAGACGCAGACGTTATAACTGTGATGGTTGGGGTAGATGCAGATGTTAATAACTGTGATGGTTGGGGTTGGTGTAGATGTTAATAACTGTGATGGTTGGGGTAGGTGTAGACGTTAATAACTGTGATGGTTGGGGTAGGTGTAGAGGTTAATAACTGATGGTTGGGGTTGGTGTAGACGTTAATAACTGTGATGGTTGGGGTTGGTGTAGATGTTAATAACTGTGATGGTTGGGGTAGGTGTAGACGTTAATAACTGTGATGGTTGGGGTTGGTGTAGATGTTAATAACTGTGATGGTTGGGGTAGGTGTAGACGTTAATAACTGTGATGGTTGGGGTAGGTGTAGAGGTTAATAACTGATGGTTGGGGTTGGTGTAGACGTTAATAACTGTGATGGTTGGGGTTGGTGTAGATGTTAATAACTGTGATGGTTGGGGTAGGTGTAGACGTTAATAACTGTGATGGTTGGGGTAGACGCAGACGTTATAACTGTGATGGTTGGGGTAGATGCAGATGTTAATAACTGTGATGGTTGGGGTTGGTGTAGATGTTAATAACTGTGATGGTTGGGGTAGGTGTAGAGGTTAATAACTGTGATGGTTGGGGTTGACGCAGACGTTATAACTGTGATGGTTGGGGTAGATGCAGATGTTAATAACTGTGATGGTTGGGGTTGGTGTAGATGTTAATAACTGTGATGGATGGGGTAGGTGTAGAGGTTAATAACTGTGATGGTTGGGGTAGGTGTAGAGGTTAATAACTGTGATGGTTGAGGTAGATGCAGACGTTAATAACTGTGATGGTTGGGGTAGATGCAGATGTTAATAACTGTGATGGTTGGGGTTGGTGTAGATGTTAATATCTGTGATGGTTGGGGTAGGTGTAGACGTTAATAACTGTGATGGTTGGGGTAGATGCAGACGTTATAACTGTGATGGTTGGGGTAGATGCAGATGTTAATAACTGTGATGGTTGGGGTTGGTGTAGATGTTAATAACTGTGATGGTTGGGGTTGGTGTAGATGTTAATAACTGTGATGGTTGGGGTAGGTGTAGACGTTAATAACTGTGATGGTTGGGGTTGGTGTAGGGGTTAATAACTGATGGTTGGGGTAGGTGTAGACGTTAATAACTGTGATGGTTGGGGTAGGTGTAGACGTTAATAACTGTGATGGTTGGGGTAGATGCAGACGTTAATAACTGTGATGGTTGGGGTAGGTGTAGACGTTAATAACTGTGATGGTTGGGGTAGGTGTAGACGTTAATAACTGTGATGGTTGGGGTAGATGCAGACGTTAATAACTGTGATGGTTGGGGTAGGTGTAGAGGTTAATAACTGTGATGGTTGGGGTAGGTGTAGAGGTTAATAACTGCGATGGTTGGGGTAGATGCAGACGTTAATATCTGTGATGGTTGGGGTAGGTGTAGAGGTTAATAACTGTGATGATTGGGGTAGATGCAGACGTTAATAACTGTGATGGTTGGGGTAGGTGTAGAGGTTAATAACTGTGATGATTGGGGTAGATGCAGACGTTAATAACTGTGATGGTAGGGCTTGGGGTAGATGCAGACGTTAATAACTGTGATAGTTGGGGTAGATGTAGAGGTTAATAACTGTGATGGTTGGGAGGGATGCAGATGTTAATAACTGTGATGGTTGGGGTTGGTGTAGATGTTAATAACTGTGATGGTTGGGGTAGATGCAGATGTTAATAACTGTGATGGTTGGGGTAGATGCAGACATTAATAACTGTAATGGTTGGGGTAGGTGTAGACGTTAATAACTGTGATGGTTGGGGTAGATGCAGACGTTAATAACTGTGATGGTTGGGTTAAGGGTTGGGATAGTTGTAGACGTTAATAACTATGATGGTTGGGTTTAGGGTTGGGGCAGGTGTTGACGTTAATAACTGTGATGGTTGGGTTTAGGGTTGGGGCAGGTGTTGACGTTAATAACTGTGATGGTTGGGTTTAGGGTTGGGGCAGGTGTTGACGTTAATAACTGTGATGGTTGGGTTTAGGGTTGGGCTAGGTGTAGACATTAATAACTATGATGGTTGGGGTAGTTGTAGACGTTTATAACTGATATACAGCACCATCAAGTTGATAACATAGTTTTAACATGGCTCCATAACTCCAAGTTACATCTCTTACGTATACTGCAAGTTACGCCCCTAAGGCCTCTTCATGTTACGCCCCTGTCTTGCAGTCTGCAGACAGACCCTACTCCCTCCCCCTTCCCTAAACGCAACCAATACTATTTTAAAAAGCACCTATTGACCTGCCCACCCCCTTCCCCAAACCAAACCCAACGCACTGTTTTGAAAAGCAATACAGAAAAAGAAAAGCCCTCACCTGGTTTTTACAACGTTTTCAGATTTTACCACATTCTCACCCTGTTATTTACTTGTTTATTTATATATGGCTATTATTATTGTCTTACCTGCTTTCTGGAATTGTTCTTCACCAGATTTAAATCTGTCACTGCAGTCAATCTCTGCGTTTCAAGTCCACCGACATACGTATCAAGCTACCTGACAAAGTGCTAACACTGGAAAAACTGTCCACATCCAGGTAAGCCGTCAGCGGGCTCAAAAAGGATGGTGTAATACTGTCCCGTAGTGTTTGTGTTAAAGATGAAATGCAGCCATACGTAGCTCTGGCTACATAAGTTTCTATCTCCAGGAACATACACAGGGCTAAGCTTTCAGAATGAGCCAATGTTGTTTAATTTAGTTGCATTTGTTCTGTTGTTACATTCAATGTAAATATGTAGGTTGGTAGATACACATATAAGTCAACCTGATGATCAGTGTCATTTGGAGGAGTTCATGTATTTCAGTTGTAGGACATGAGAGTAGTCTTCATTAAAACAGCACAATCAGTGAATAAGCAGCATCTGTTACTGTGTGCATTTCATTTACTCGCTGAAAAATAAAAAAGATTTTAACATAACAGCTGGAAACCAGCTTTTATGTTTTATTTTTCTTTTTATTAATTTAAGGTTCCGTTTCGGCTTCTAATAACTTTTCTTCATAGTCGTAGACCTCTTTCAGCACAGTTTTGAATACCTATTTCTATTGGTCTATTACCATTCTTTTATTTATTTATTTATTTATTTGTTTATTTGTTTATATGTTTGTTTTTAACTGGCTTAACTTTACCCTTCCTTAAGATTAAATACAGAGTTGGTTTATTGCCTCTTTTTGGCTTGGAAAATTGTTTTATGTATATGTATTTTTGTATGTATATATATAAATTTATTTTATTATTTTGTTTTAGTATGTCTTTGTCATTTACTCTTCAGTTTTTTTCTTTTTATTGTCACTATTGTTGTTGTTAGCACTATTATCAATATTATTATTTCACAACCTGTATATTGATTATTACATGTATATATATATATATATATATATATATGCACATTGCTATATGCTGATGATTGTCTATGGCATGCTTTTCTGTGTTAAAAAAATACAAAATAAAAGAAAAAATTGATGAATAAAAAAAGATCTAATTGTATTGGATCTGGCTGTGCAAACTGAGCCTTGCATACAGTCCCTTTTGCCCTTTTGCTCTATGTGTACAGCATGCACTGATGAATAAATGCCAATAGGGTAATGCTTGCTAAAAAATACCCAAATAAGAATAAATAATAAATAATTAATAATAATTATTAATAATGATAATAAATAAATAAATAAATAAATAAATAAATAAATAAATAAATAAATAAATGGATAAATATATATTTATGTAAACAACCGTTGTACAAAATTCAAATCAGGAAGATGTAAAAGTTATCTATTTTTGTTATTGCCTTTAACCATTAAGTATCTCGTAAGTATTAGCCCTTTAACTACCCCAAGAAAAGAAAATTTAATTTCATAACTCCTAGTTGTGTTGCTAGTTAGCACACTCAATGTTTTTTTTTTTTCAACAAATCCCAGGATTTCTAAAATATTAACCTCTACCAAATGGTAGATATGTCAGTTTATGGTAAAAGTACCTTAAAGTACAACCCTAAACCCAAATATGAAGTGTAAGACCAATTTATTATTTAAAAATATTCAAAATACAGCATTTTTGAATACTATTCATTCATTCATTTTTGGCTTAGTCCCTTTATTACGGGGGTCGCCACAGCGGAATGAACCGCTCGCAACCCATCTCTGGGAATTTTTGAATACTAAATCATCTTTATTTTTGAAGAATGACATAAAATATTGCAGATTCTCTTTTAACATGCTTTCTTGTTTTTTTGTTTTTGTTTTTTTTGTTTTGTTTTTTTACAACCAAAATCAAGTGTAGAAGTGCAACAGGATTATGTTTGTTTGATTTATTTGTAAATCAATAATGCTATGTGTGTAAACCATTATTTAAAACAGTCATTCTTTAAATTACTTCATCAGTCTTTATTTAAAACAGTAAAAACATGGTCAAACGTTTGATAAGAGTAGGCAGTCTTCAAGTATGAGCATAGTTTCACGTGCACTGTATTACCTGCGTATATTTGCATTACACGGAAGGTAGGCTATGTGTACACAGCATGTTGATTTTTAATATCACACTGTGGGGTCAAATCCCTTGTAAGTGTAACTTCCTTAACCAATAAACGCGAATTGTGATTGTGAAGTTCCGCCCTCCACTGGTGAATGATACACACCGTGAGGAGCTTTTGGACGCTGCGAGAGAAACGCGCAGAAGAGACAAAGAACAGCCTAGCGCGCTCACGCTGAGGGTCTGAAGGACGCGACCTGCATGTCCCTGCAACCATTTGACAATTTTCCTTTAATTTTTATTTTCTATTGTTTATGAAACGAGAACGATGGGAACTACTACGGAGCGAACGAAGCATATTGTTCATCTGTATGACTGAGGCGCGTCCGGGTGAAATCATAATTATTAATTTGGGTTTTACGCAAACGCTGGCTCTGAAAAACGAAATCTGGTTAAGTTGACAAATTTTCTACTTGCGAGCAAACAAAGACAGATTATAAACAAAAAAAAACCGAAACGAAAATCATCACATTTTAGTATCAATCAGTAGTTGCGCCAATTGCTGGAGAAGTCGACCGCGCGCATCTGTGATCAGACTGCTCAGTTGTGATCAGCAATCAGCCACAACTTTGAGCTGGGTTTGTGAAACTCAAATGAACAGATGCGCGAAGACAGACCGTGTGTTTCAGGAGCCGAGCTGCTGGACAGCGCATGTGGACAGTTTCCTGCATCTTCTTTCATCTCAGACAAGGAAACGTGTCATTTTCCGTAAATAAAAAGACGACTGTTTCAAGCCACGGTTTATCTTGAAATCGGATAACACAGGCGATGAAAAGAGAGAGGAAAGTCCTGCATGCTGAAATATAGGTAAGTTTTTGCTCCTGTCTTATCTCGTTTTTCCGGTTTTCATTAAACCAAGGGCTAGTCTTTTAAACGCTTCTCTATAAACAAAACAAAACAAAACAAATTGTTTATTTATTCCCCAATTTCTATTTAACGAACAGTAGATTTTTTCAACACATTTCTAAAAAGAATAAGTTTAATGACTCATCTCTAATAACTGATTTATTTTATCTTTGCCATGATGACAGTAAATAATATTTGACTAGATATTTTTCAAAACACTTCTAAACAGCTTAAAGTGACATTTAAAGGCTTAAATTGGTTAATTAGGTTAACTAGGCAGGTTAGGGTAATTAGGCATTTATTGTATAATGATGGTTTGTTCTGTAGTCTCGGAAAAAATATAGCTAAAAGGGGCAAATAATTTTGACCTTAAAATGATTCATCAAAAATTAAAAACTGCTTTTATTCTAGCCAAAATAAAACAAACAAGACTTTCTGCAGAAGAAACAATATTATCAGACATAGTGTGAAAATGTCCTTGCTCTGTTCAACATCATTTGGGAAATATTTCTAAAAAAAGTAAAAATAAAATGTATAAAAAAACAATAGATGGATGGATGGATGGATGGATGGCTAGATAGATAGATAGATAGATAGATAGATAGATAGATAGATAGATAGATAGATAGATAGATAGATAGATAGATCATGTTCCATGAAGATATTTTGCAAATGTCCTGCTGTAAATAGAGGAGAATGAGGCCAGTTTCAACGCTTTTTACATTCCCTTCAGTTTCACAGAGAAAGGTTTTTTGGAATTCAGATTTTTAATATAGTAAATCCACATCTATTAGACACCCACCCACATTGCTTTAAAATGTGTATATATGATAATATATGCAGAATTTAAGAACTTATTGAACAGACAAAGTCGAATGTCGCAACTGACCCTGAGCAGAGGGACAGTTACAACATTCATTAAAATGTAATAATGAAATAAATCTAAAACATCAGGTTGGATTTATTTTTATTTTTTGGTAAACAGGCTAAATGTAAATTGGTTAAATTGTTAAATGTGTTACATTGGCCATAAAAATACAGACTATTAAAAGAACAAGCGGCAGCCAATTATCAGACCTTTAAAAAGCTGAACAAAAATATATATTTTACTGAAAATCTAGAAAGAAGCTTTACTAAACTACTTCTTTTAGTACTACTTCAACTTTAAGTTGAATTAATCAATCAAAGAATTCATTTTTTTCAAATTAAATAACATTGAAACTGTGATCAAATGAAAATTGTACCTTGCTAATATGGCAAGCTTTTAAATGAATTATGAATGAACAGCATGTTGTAACTGTGCCATCTCTGTCAACCCTGAATAAACTGTCCATGCTATAGGGAGATACAATAGCTTTAACGCTTGACAGCTGAAAGCTAAGAAAACTGTGATTTAATTTATAAGAAATAATGTTTCACAAAAACAGATTAGAAAGTACATTTTCTAAACATTAAAAGAAAATACTTTTTTTTTTTTTTAACCTAAAAATTAGTTTTATACAGAATGCTGATTTCTCTCGGATTGAAGGAGGGTCTGACTGAGAATATGTAATATGAATATCAGCACACTAGCTCATTCCTGAATGGAGGACTAAGTCTTGTTGAAACTGCCCCCAACTGTCCCCACTCTCCCCTATATCAAAAATGCATTTGTGATTTTAAATTTCCTTTATATTTAGATTTATTTTAATCTTCAGTTTCCAGATATTTAAATAATTGTATCCCTGCTAGACATGGGACAATAACCATAATAAGGTATACCGCGATTTGGAAAAGTCAAGGTTTGAACATTTTCTGCTTTACCGTTCCTAAGAAATGAGAAACACTTTTTATTTACGATAATTTTTTTCATTTATTTTAGTTTTTTTAAAACAGCAGTATCTCCAGCAGAAAAGATATCCAAAGATGTCATTTTAAAATGTAAAGAAACCTGTGTTTTTGAAACAAACGAAGACAGCAGAAGTCATAGATTCATTTGATTTGTATAGCCTGACATGTTTACGGTTCCAATTTTTTTTTAAATAATTCTAAAAGTAAAATATATTGCGCACAAAGGGGAAAAAATTGTGTTTTTTAGCCAGACATGTAAAAAGAATATATTTCAAAACAGTAATCACAATACAGTCAAACCGTGATATTTTTATCCAAGGTTATCACACCATCCGAATCGGTAACACACACTATAAATCATTTATTAAGCATTAGCAAATAGTGAATTCATTATTTGTTAAGCATTAACTCTACATTAATAAACGTTAGTAAGCAGTTTATAACTGCAGCTATAAATGCTCTATTCTTGACTTATAAGCACCTATATAATGTGCTTAATAATTGTACTTTCATATTTAGTTAATGATTTTTTTCATTACTAAATTAGGTATCACATTATTTACAAACCAGTTGTATTTAAGAGTAGTTGAGGATTTTTAGGATCATTCAGAATGAGTTAGTAAATGATTAATAAACAAATAAAATCAACGTTTATGTCTCTTATTATTTAGTCATATATTAATAGTTAACTAATATGTTAATAAATGCTTTATTAACTCAACTTCATCTAGTTTTGTGACCTAATCTAAAGTGAGGACTATTTATGCTTTATAAATCCCTCATAAATGACAATGAAAGGCTCAGAATCAAATGAACAACAATCTTTGCAATCTTATCTAAAAAGTAAAATTACTGTAAAGTTTAAACATTGCTGAATAACAGGAGTGCCAAACTATGACATCCAACTGAATAAAACAACTACAACAATATAATAATTTAACAATATAATAAGATGTAATGTTTAGGCTCTACAGTGATTTTATTTTATTTTATTTTATTTTTTTTAGATAAGGATGCAATTTTTCATTTGAAGTATGGTTTCATTTGTGTATCTTTATTTGAAAAGGAATGAATAATGTCAAATTTCCTGTTTAGAATTAAACTGAGCCTTTATTTGTAATGTAATGTAATGTAAAGTGTATTTATATAGCGCATTTATTGTGTATGGCCATAAACCCAAAGCGCTTTACAATCATGAGGAGGGGTCTCTCCACACCAACACCAGTGTGCAGCATCCACTTGGATGGTGCGACGGCAGCTGTTGGTGGAGAGACAGTGATAGAGCCAATTCGGTTGAAGGGGATGATTGGTAGGCCATGATCGTAAGGGCCGATAGAGGGACTTTGGCCAGGACACCGGGGTTACACCCCTGCTCTTTCACGAGAAGTGCCATGGGATTTTTAAAGGGATTTTCATTTATAGGATATTTATAAAGCATAAATAGTCCTCACTTTAGATTAGGTCACAAAACTAGATGAAGTTGAGTTAATAAAGCATTTAATAACATATTAGTTAATAATTAGCATATGCCTGAATAATAAGACATAGAAACGTTGATTTCAATAGTTTAATAATCATTTACTAACTCATTCTGAATGATCCTAAAAAGCCTCAACTTCTCTTAAATACAACAGGCTTGTAAATAATGCGATACTTAATTTAGTAATGAAAAATAAATCAAGTATTATCAATAATTAACCAAGTATGAAAGTACAATTATTAAGCACATTATAAATATGTTTGTAAGTCAAGAATAGAGCATTTATAGATGCAGTTATAAACTTCTTACTAACGCTTGTTAATGTAGAGTTAATGCAGATAATGAATTCACTATTTGCCAATGCTTAATAAATGATTTATAGTGTGTAGTTATTATGAAGTGTTACCTCAGAAATCTTATACCGCCCCTTGCCTAATCTCTGCCTAATTCTATCCTAACAAACTGTACATTAATGGAAACCTTATTCATGCAGCTTTCATGTATGACGATGTATAAATCTCAAAAAAAAAAAAAAAAAAAAAAAACACATGACTAGTTTTGTGGTCCAGGGCTAAATATATCATTCAAAAGCTTGTCCAACATTCAACATGCGATTATACAGTTATACATTATATAGTTACAGATTAACTTTGGTCGACTCTATTAATTGAGTGAAAGACAATGACTGGTCTAATAGGCTGCTCAAGATTTTTCTTTCTGTTTCTGCAGGATAAGATGTCTGCACTCCGTAAGAAATTTGGAAATGACTATCAGGTAGTGACCACTACCTCCTCCAGCCATCTGAAGGACAAGAGGAGGAAACGACAACGATTTGTGGATAAGAACGGACGATGTAACGTCCAGCACGGAAACTTGGGCGGAGAGACCAGCAGATATCTCTCCGACTTGTTCACAACTTTAGTAGACCTTAAATGGAGGTGGAACCTTTTCATCTTCATCCTCACATACACAGTGGCCTGGTTATTCATGGCGTTTATGTGGTGGGTCATTGCATATATCAGAGGCGACCTGAACCGAACCCATGATGAGAAGTACACGCCATGCGTGGCCAACGTGTATAACTTTCCCTCTGCTTTCCTCTTTTTTATTGAGACGGAGGCCACTATAGGATATGGCCACAGATACATCACTGATAAATGTCCAGAAGGGATCATTCTCTTCTTATTTCAGTCTATCCTAGGCTCCATAGTGGATGCCTTTCTAATAGGCTGCATGTTCATAAAGATGTCTCAACCCAAGAAGAGGGCGGAAACTCTGATGTTCAGTGAAAATGCAGCCATTTCCATGCGTGACGGCAAACTCACGCTGATGTTCAGAGTGGGAAACCTGCGCAACAGCCACATGGTTTCAGCCCAAATCCGGTGTAAATTACTCAAGGTATGGAGCTGCCTTATTTAATCAGATTACATTGTGAAATTGCATGTAAATACTTATACCCTTTTGTGCCATTTAAAAAAATGGTTTCATGCATGTCGCCCTGTTAATAGTGTCCTTTATGAGCATGTTTTGCATTTTTTTTCCCAAGGTTTTTTATTTTTTTTAATTTTTTTCAAGAAAATCGTATTTGAATATGCGGCAATTATAGTTTTCCGGTGGGCAAATACATACCTGTCAACCCTCCCGTTTTACCCGGGATTCTCCTGTATTTTACAGTTCTATCCCGCTATCATCCCGTAAAGGTATTTTCCCGTATTTTAAGTCTTTCTCTGAACAGCCAAGCCTCCCTATACGCAACCTATCCGCTTGTTAAGTGGTGACGTATGTAATACTGTTTCCGGGTCCAGATCGCCATTCATTTGAGTGGAGAAATCATTTGTTTAGTATCACGTTTTATTCCTATCACACATTAAAGTTAATTTTATATAATATCATAGTGTACACAACAATCTCTGGGCTTGCTGCATAACAAATACCAAAAATTTAACAATTGAAAAAAAAAATTAATCACTTTCTGACATCGGATATTAGGCATGAACACTATACTACTATAATACTATACTAGACTGCGATCGTGATTTTCGAAAGTATTAAATTAACGTTAGTAAACGTTTATTATTACCATTTCATGAGTCTCCCCATTCAGTTTAATAGAGCGCTTGGACCGGAAGCCGCTTCGCGTGACGTCACACTTAACAAGCGGATACCTCCGAACCACCAGGGGTTGCCCCTTACTCTAAAACATGAGTCTTCTGTGCTTTCACTTTGTTTAGAAATGAAAACACTTATAAATAAATATTAAAAACGCGCGATTTCATTTCCTTTTGATTACAGGTGCCGTCGCCCATCCTATACAATCCTCAAAACAGTCATGTAATGGTTCATGACTGCCAGCTGACATGCTTCATAGTAATAAACAGAAGCTGTTTCCTAAACGGATTCTGTACACGCAATTTAAAGCGGAGAGAATGTCTGGATTTTGGGTGCGGGTTTAAACAGACATACACACAAAATTAATAATAATAACATATAAGGATGTCGATCTTGGTGGCTTTTTTTTTTCCCAAACACAACTAATTTTGTCTTAAATACGCATAACATGTTTGGAAAGCAGTCGAATGCTTTCATTATAATGTGTGTGCATTTTTAAAGTGACACCTTTTATTTGATGTAAAAAAATATCTTAATAAATGAGAGATTCATCTGTAACTCTTTTATCAGAATGTGTAAGTTATACAGTGGAGAAACGAATAATGAGTTTGATAGCTTGATTCTATTTCATTATAATAGCTATTAATTTTAATAAGCTGAATTGTTTGCTAATGTATATATATATATATATATATATATATATATATATATATATATATATATTTATTTATTTTTATTTTGTTAATAATAATTGTAAAACATATTACTGACCATTTAACTGTTTATTTACAATAAAACAGCTTTAAATGAACATAGTAATTTGGGGATTTTTTTAAGGGGAGGATCCCTTATTATGGTGGGCATATCCCTTATTTTCACATCCTAATGTTGCCAGGTATGCAAATATGTTGTAAGAACCGTTCAATGTAAAATTTGAATAGGAGGAGAACATTTGGCATTCTCACTCAAAACAACTGCTTTCAACAGATCATTCAAAACCATTTGATATGAGCCCCCTGAAAATGATCTGCCATATAATTTCATTAATTTGAAAGCATGAAGTGATGAAACACACACAGTAGTTTCCCCAACAGACTACTGTGTGTCAAAAAGATAATTGAAAAATTGCAAACAGCTTAGTAATAAGTAAAGCTGCTGATTCTGTTTGTGGGGTTGTTTAATGATCTGATGAGCTGAGATATTGAGAGATTTATTGAGGTTCCAGTTGAGTTCAAGACCATGTCCACACATGCACAGGAATTTTTCAGGAATTCTCAATTTTCTAAAAAAAAAAAAAAAAAACACAGACCCTGGTGCTTTTAAAAATCTTCACCCTGACAAGAGTTTTGAAAATGTGGTTTTTCAGTGACCTGATACTGTGTTTTTGAGTAGAAAAAAAGCTGCTATTAAATCCCATGTTTGTGTGGGAAGTAGGGCCTAAGGTTGTGACTGAATTTGGTTGTAGTTTTGTGTTTTTCTCAGTGATTTCGCTTTTTAACAGCAGGAGTTGATTATTCTCTGTTCACTCCGCACTTTAACTCTGCTCCAGTGTTATTTTAACTCTTTGGGGGAGTGGGGCCAGTGGGAGACATTTGAGAATTTTTACTGTATATTAAATTGTGTATTAAAAAAGGCTACTTTAAAGTTAAGATATCAGTTAAATAGTTATGTTTAGATAGGGTACTATGAAAGCAAAAATCATTATACAAGACCAATATCCTGGATTTATTAACTTATTAACACATTATTTCCCAATTTCACATTATTTATAAGGTATTTGCCCACCGGCAGCTATAGTTGCTGCTTGAAAAAGTGTATTCCAACACGCCCGAATTGCTTTTGCGTCCTGCGCTTTGCACTTTGCGCATGGATTGTCAAAATAGAGCCTACTGTCTGTAAACATGCTTTTTCTTCAAAATCCTCAATGATTTTCTGGTAAAACAAATTTCAAACATGAACAAAGCTTCTATGTGTGTTTCTAAGAACTGTTAATGTCTATGGGCCCTATCATACACCCAGCGCAATAAACCGCAAGACATGTATGGTGCGATTTGTTGCTATTTTCAGACCAGGGCAACCCTGATTTTCACATTTTGCACCATGTTGTTTAAATAGTAAATCAATTTGCGCCACTTTGTGGACTCATGGGTGTGCTGGTCTAAAAAGGAGGTGTGTTAAGGCGCATTGTTGGTGCAATGCTATTTTGGAAAACTTAAATGGACTGCGCCAAGTCCATCTCTGCAATTACACTTATGTAATGCTAGGAGGCAGTAGGTTTTCATGTTCCTTGGTGTCCTCTATAATGCTACCTTAATGTACAAGCTAAAACTCGCTCATTAAGAGGAGGGAACCGATGGACATGCAACCACATTAATCATAGGTAAACAACAGTTTGAACACAGTTTCCATCTAGAGCTACTTCACGGGACTCTACACTTGTAAACACTCACTCCAAAGACAACGTTTTTCAGTTTATTCATGACAATTTGCTTTATTAGAATGTTATTATTATTAGCCGTATTATTTAATATATGCATATTTATATTTGTTTCAATAAAAACAAGGTTTGATTTAATAAGAAAAGGATGTGTGTTTGGATGTAACCAAAATAAATATTTATATTATATTATTATTCATTTATTAGTTTGCAGGAAATTAGAACTGAATTTAAAAATAGTTTTGAAAAAAATCTTTGCGCTAAACAAACAAAATTAAATATGTAGGCTAATGGACGTCTTCAGTGGAGTGCGTACAACACAGTTTCCTAATCCATGAAAGGAAAGGAGTAAAGTAAAGAGTAAAAGTATAGTAACGAGAAAGTAAGGAGGCTGAATGGAGGAGGCTCATTCCTTATCCTCGTGCTGCAGATGGTCTGTTTAACTGTTTTCTCACTAGTGAAGCGTTCAGTTTTTCCACTTACAAAGTCCGCCATGTAAATAGCGAATGCACCATGGCGTGACTCAACTGACTCTTAAAGGGAATGTGAGATGAGATTGGTTTAAAGCACGTTATGCTCAAAACACACCCAGAATTTATTAAGAGAACAAGAACAACCCTGCCGAGGCCATGCACTTAGACTTTGCACCTATATAAAAAAATAGAGCTTTAAATGTATCCACTGATCCTCTCTAAAGCTTTTGCTAGACCAGTTTGGATTTGGTTATCTTGTTGAATTTCTGGGTAAATGTATTTATTGTATTTTATAGTTTGCTGCAGTTAAGTTTTGTTTTGTTGTAGTCACGCGTGGATTACAGTGTACGCGACGCTCGACAACAATAACTTACGTGTCTAAGGAGGAACATTGTTTACCTGAGAGCTGTTCTCATCTGCAAACGCTGAAATCCGGCTTCGCTTTAGTCTCCTCTTAATAAAGACGCGGCTCTAGTTGCTGGTGATTGTCCTGTCTTTACAGATTTGGTAAGTGAGAGACCAGTGCTCTGTTTATTCAGATTTGCTCTATTATTCTAGTTTATTCACTATTGCACCGAGTATAAACATGTTAGCACCACAACCAAACTTTAACCTCGTGAAGGATTTATACCACATTTTGTGACCGGAATAACACACATGGCTTACTGACACTACCTGCCGTGTGCATCTAAGTTTCCGGGAAATGCTGAGGGTTTTTTTTCACTCATTCGCTGCGCAGTATCAAACATTGCATGAAAAATACACGCTTAGAGCAGCTCCTCGAATCATAAATCTCGTTTGTCGCGAGGGGCATGACTGAATTCCCTGAATGAAAGAGCCAAACTGCAGTTAAAGTCCACCATTTAATAATTTGGCAAATTATTCGACTACAGATGTTCATGTAAACACAGTCACTTTCTCCCCTGTGTGTGTGTTTTGACTCTGAAACTCAGCGCGCCCAAATAGACACTCCCACACTATTCCTCTTTTCTTCCTCCGACACTCCCCCCTAAACAGAGCTGTTCACGCCCACTTTTCTAACTTTTTCCAAAGTAGAGGTGTGAAAACACCCTTCTGAAACAAGGGGGTTTCATGGCCATTTAAATAAGTAGTTTGAACAAGCAGCAAAAATAGCACACAAATAGACGACTTAAAACAGCAATGTTGAATATAGGGGTTTAGAACTTTTTATATCCTTTTCTATGCCACTAAACTGAACTACCACCACCAACAGCTGGAGCTTCAGAAAAAGATTCTATAAAGAATTTGTATATTGTTTCAGTCTGAGGAAAGTTAAATCTTTTTGATTGCATATGTACATCAAAATGTTGTTTGGAATGCTACATCTGGTCATTAGTTGTATTAAAATGTAATTTTGAATTTTTTCATTTTGATGACTGTCTACCCTCTCAGCTCAGTTCACGGTGCAGTGTTTACAGCAATCTTTACACCCCTGTCTCTTCTTGCTCCTGCAGTCCCGTCAGACGCCTGAGGGCGAGTTCCTTCCCTTGGATCAGCTGGAGCTGGATGTTGGCTTCAGCACTGGAGCGGACCAGCTCTTTCTTGTGTCGCCACTCACAATCTGCCATGTGATTGACACTAAGAGCCCCTTCTATGAACTTTCACAACACTCCATGCAGACTGAACAGTTCGAAATTGTCGTGATTTTGGAGGGTATTGTTGAAACAACTGGTAAGTTTCCTTTCTGCTATTTCAATCCTTTTTTGCCATTTTCTAGTCAATAAGCTGCTGTAAGATTAAATAAAGTCTAGAATACACTATACTACTTTTACACAGATTCTAAATCATGCTGTGTGAAATGGGTTCTGACTGAAAAACTCAACAACTATGATCTGAGACCAATAGACAGGGCATTGGGAAGTTTGGGGAGAAGTTATAGACTGCAATGGGAAGAAACCTAGACATACTCCTGGAGTGACACAGAAACAGTGTCCACGTCTGTGTACCTGGCTGTATATCTTTTTAGAGAAAAGAAAGTGACACGCATTTATCATTTCACCACTTTCTGAGTGGTTTGAAAGTCCGTTCTGAATGGACAGTGAAAAAAAAAGGGATATCAGACCTCATTTTTAGCTAAGTCAATGTAAATGGCACTAGTTAGATAACGTTTTCTTTCACAAACAGATGTTTTAGATGCCATTTATCAAACTCAAGTTAACAAACTGATTCTTTCTCTATATTAGACTTGATACTGAATTTCGGTACTGAAATCCCAACATTTAAGCACTGTTGGGCTCGTTTATAAACACAGCTAATTTGCCATAGTATTCACCAGTGCTCAACAGAAAGGACTGTGATTGGCCATGCAGGTCATCAGCACCTCACCTATTTTTATTGAGTAAAAATGAGCTTTAAAATGCTCCAGTGTTCCTGTATCTTTGATTGCACTCGGTGAAGAGCGGTGGACTGATGAATTTCACGGCCAATCACAATCATTTTTGTTAAGCACTGGTGAATACTATGGTAAATCAGTGGTGTTTAAGAACGCGTTTAAATTGCCTAAATGTTAGAGGGAAATGGACGTTTTTAAAATGTTAGTAGTGAGACAACACTACAGAGGACTGCATTCGTTTTATCGATCATCGTATTACATGGGCTAAAGGAGGGAAGTGTCCCTATGGTGTTTACTTGGTGCCATGAACTGAAACCTATAAAGAAGCTTAAGATTATTACTCATAAAGAGATTATGATTTTGTTTGATGCCTAATATGCTTTTAATCGTTTAAATTAAACTTAACTGAATGATATTAAAATGAAGTTTACACCATATCTGCACTTTGAAATCGCGGCAACAGCTGGAGGTTTGTAGTTCACAGCATGTTGTTGCAATGTTTACAGTGCTGATCCTATACTTCCGGGTTTCTTCCCACCGCAGACAAACTTTCCTTTTTTAAAATATACATTCAGAGATTGTAATCGATATGCTTAAGCTTTACAATAACAATAAACAGAAAGCAGAAACATTTATTTATTGACCTTCAACTCTCTAAGCAGAACACACAACGCTTGTTCCTGCATCTCCCCTCCTTAACATTCTTTTCTTTCTTTTTTGACCTTTTCCCAAACAATCTGGATTGCAAATTTACTTAAGGGTACCATTTTGCAGCCTCACGTGTGACTTATTTCATTATCACCCCATGTGTGAGGCAGAGATTTGTCAACAATTGTTTCTTTCAGAGTGTAACTGCAAATATGCCACAAAGAAAAGGCTCAGGGAATCAACCGGAGGATTGAATAGCTATTATTAATTTAACACTAGAACTACCGAGGCAGTCATTTTGACCCTTTCTAATTTTTGCAATTTAATTACTTATTAAATTAAACAGCCATATCTATAATTCGCTTTTTTATTTATATGTCTTTATATGACTTTTATTATATGACTTTATATGTGTGATTTTCCTTCTAACATTGCTATTTTATTAAAATGACAAAACACAAAAGTGTTATGATTATTTTAACACTGTAAAGTTAGCTATATATATATATATATATATATATATATATATATATATATATATATATATATATATATAAATAAATCAACACATTTATAATTCACAATCCAGATATGTTAACATTAATTAAAATAATAAGTTGTGATAACTAATCGGCACAATATTTTTTTGCAGTGTAACTAGAACTACTATACGTCATGGCCGCATACATTTCAGTTGTCTGCTACTTTTTCCTGTAAATAAATATGCATGCCTCTGTTGCCAAGCTACTTCCTGGTATCAAAACAACTTTCTGTTGGCAAAAACATAACTTTACTTCAGATATGTCTTTCAAAACAGCATATTCATTTTTTCTTTTGCCACAGGCTGGTTGGCTGGTTTTAGCTGGTTGACCAGCCTGGTTTTAGAGGGGTTTTGGCTATTTCCAGGCTGGTTTACAGCCATTTTCAGCCTGGTTTTAACTGGTCTGGCTGGAAAATGACCAGCTAAATCCAGCTAAAACCAGCTTGACCAGCCTGGTTTAAGCTGGACATAGCTGGTTTTGGCTGGACTCCCAGCTTGACTACGTTTTTCTTCAGTAGGGTTTGCAGTGTCTCAAAAACTAAAAGTTTCCAGAGAAAATTGTGTTGTGTACGAAGCCCACAGACTTTCAGAGTTTCGAACGTTTGGTATTTTAGAACATCTTATTTTCATTTATCGTTCATCCTCCACAAAATTAGCAGATGTTTTTATGTCTGTGCTCTTTTAATTCTTTGAAACTGAAGTCAAAATGGATATAATGCCCTGTTTTGTAATATATTCAGATTTGAAAAGCTATTTCCAGCATGAAGCTGCATGCACCAGAAAAAAAGGGAAATTGTAGCTGTTCACCTCCTGTTAAGGCGAGTTTCTAAAACAGGAGGCATGGGGTATCTCACTGGCCCTGAAGTGAACACAATTGATTGCGTTCTATTGATCAGCAAATGAAGTGTGATTGTAAACATGCTGTTTGGGGACACTGGTAAAACCAGTCTCTAGCAGTGTGTATCCCTTAACACAAAAAGCAAGACAAACAGACAACAGGGGTCAGTAGTTTAAACACATGTTTAGGTCACAGTGTGCAGTGTGTTCTATAGTATTCCACCCTGATTTCTGTATGTAATTAATGCTTATTATGGCCATTCAGTTCACACTTTGCAAATACTTGACCTTTTTTAGGCGAAATCGATCATTTTAAAACTTGCTAATTGCAGATAACTATCACTATTCACAATTGGATACTGTTTGTTTGTTATATGTTTTATATTGGAACATTATCAAGGAGAAACATTCATATTAGACATTTAGAGGTGGACATGTCATCCAAAAGTTTAGTTATTAGTAACATCTCAGCTTAATGATACTGCCTACATGTTTGCATATCTCACTAGAGCTGTTCTTTGTCATTCTGCTAAGAACACGACAGGAAGTCTCAGCTGCAGATCTCTTCCAATTTCTCATTATCTTCCTCCAAGAATGGAGAAATTGTTGGTAATTTGGCTCTAGGTGGGCAGTAACAGAGCCAGAATCTTGTTTTTGTCCAAAGTAGCTGAATTTTCATACACACACACACACACACACACATGCACACACATTTGTTTCACTATATTAGTAAGTGCATTGTATGTACATTATAGTTTTTATACAATGTATATATGATGTATTTGTTTCTGCTATATATATATATATATATATATATATATATATATATATATTATGGAGTTTGCATGTTCTCCCTGCGTTCGCGTGGGCTTCCTCCAGGTGCTCCGGTTTCCCCCACAGTCCAAAAACAAGCAGTGCAGGTGAATTGGGTTGGCTAAATTGTCCGTAGTGTATGAGTGTGTGTGAGAATGAGTGTATTTGAATGTTTCCCAGAGATAGGTTGCGGCTGGAAGGGCATCCGCTGCATAAAAACTTGCTGGATAAGTTGGCGGTTCAATCCGACCACGGATTAATAAAGGAACTAAGCCGACAAGAAAATGAATGAATGAATGAATATATATATATATATATATAAATTCAATTACATTTATTAGTAATATTATTTTACAAATTCTACTAGAGCCAACAACATGGTATCATATTAGAAGGGCAATTCAGTAATTGCTGCAGTATTTCAGTGGAGTTTAAATCTTCAGGATTTAATTATCTCCTTACCATTCTCCTGCTCTGATTTCTCTCTGCTGAGCACAGTTTATAGTTTGGATTTCATTTTTTTCTTGATTTTTTTTTTACAATCATCCTATTCTACGAAGTAAGATTTTGTTTATCTGTTTAAGAGGAGTGTTTATTTAATTTGGTTTGTAAGTGTATTTATTATTGCCATACAGTATACATGTCGTTCAAGGATGCATTTATTTCAGACATTGCTGACTACATTTTCCAAAGTTAGCAATGCAGGTGAGCTAATCGCATCATTTAATATCACAAGAGCCTGTCCCTGAACTGAGAACAAATACAACTGAACAACATCAGCTGCTCTGCTGAGCCAATTATTCTCTCTCTCTCTCTCTCTCTCTCTCTTTCTCTCTCTCTCTCTCTCTCTCGCTCTCGTCTCAGTATCTTTAACAGTTACATATAGTACAGATAATGTTATATCAGAGGAATGTATTTTTACCAAAGATGTCTCAGTTATATTTCTACCAAAGATGTTAATTCTCTTTCAAAAGAACGACAAAAGTTGCTCTTAAGTCTTTTTGAACAACAGATGAAACATAAAGGATAAAAGCTTGTGTGCAGCTCATCGCAGTCACTTCTAATTGGCCAGCTGCTGTTATTTGGTTGCTAAATTAGCATAGATAAAAGATTTTACTGTTTAATCTGCTTGATTAATCTAAAGGGGATACACGTTGTCCAGAAAATGTTTGTCATTATTTTTCAATAAGGGGGATGCCATCCCCCCATAACCCACTTAAATCAAGCTCTGTGAATATATTATTGCATATTGATGGAACAACATTATTTGTAAGTAAAAGAAGGACTTCTCACCAAACATGCAGAGTATACAAAACACATTTATTTCATCAATGCAGAATCCCAGTATATTAGACATCACTTCACAAGCATTTCTCCTGTAAGAGAGTCGTGTGGCAGGAGCACAATACAATGTTAATAACTGATGAACAGTGCAAGTACCAAATCCCAAGACTCCAGTTTTCTGGTGGCTGTAACACTGTTTCTATGGCAACCCACTTT